AGTTTACACCGAGCATGGCGTTTGCTTTGCCTTCAACAGTCGCTTCAAATCAGAGGCAAAAGAAGAGTAAGTTTCAGCCAAGAATGACAGAATACAAGTCACATTATTTACAATCATACTGGCTAATTAATCAAATTATTTTCAAAATTAATACATTTATGTCGAAAACCTAAATCGGTCAGTCTTGGATTTTATCATTCTTGGGTTTCAACCTGATGGAGAATATATATATTTTTTTTTTAAAAGCTCCTTTATTTGCTATTATTAAGATACACCTTTGTTGTTGTTTTTTTTTTAAATATTTGTTTTCACTATTCTATGAAACCTTAGTGTCAATGGAGCGGCGCCACACGATCTTTATGAGACGGATAAGAAATGGGCTTTGTATTTCGTGCCGAACGGCACAGCAAAGGTAAGTAGAAATCTGAGTTTTTGGAGGTTTAGGTGACGAGTTAATCTAAGCTAAGTTCAAAAGAAAAAGAATGTTTTAGTATTTTCGTACATTATTTCTCAATGTACGCAGAACTATTAATCAGATGCAATATTAAAAAACATATTCCAGTAAAGTATATATGAGGCGGTTTTTAGAGACAGTTGGACTCACTCATGACAGACACCGCATCATATGAAGCTTATTAAGGAACTAGAGGAGCTAGGCTGACAATGTGTCTGAAAATGTGTCACTTATTTGTACAATATATAGAAAGAACCTGTGTTCTGATGAGGCTACAGAAACACGAGCCGAAGTTATAGCCCCCTGTGACAACCAATACACAGACGATAGCTTCAAACTTGAAACTACAACTTCAAGTAGAGATCGTAAATACAACGAAAGATGCCAACAAACGCAGTCAAAGGATTTATTACAATACATTCAACGACGAATTCACACAGGAATGAAGGAACACCGTTGAATGGCGTCCTTGGAGTCAAACCACCGACTGAACCTATGTAATGAATGCAAAGAGTCCCTGCATGTTACAAACAACCTACTTGCATGTCTCATGAAACCTACACATATAACACCCTATGGTTCGATCCCTCGTTTCCGGGATTTCCCGTTCGTTGATCAATACTTTGCAAAAAAACATTTACCGGACAAAGTAGAGAATACATAAATCGCTTGAAAAAAAATGTTCAAGTTTAGCAAACTTTGGTTCTAGCTATTTTTATGCGACTTTTGTTTTTCAAGAATATTTTTCGCTTCTCGTTACTTCATTGCTGCTAGGTTTTCATTTTTTCAAACGAGGAATATTTCGGCAGTGATTACAACGCACAAATAGAGTGGGAGGATAATCAGAAGGTCGAAGCACGAATCTCCAAAAAGAACACATATACCACAGATGACGCCCGACAACTAACAATTGGGTAAGCTGAGCTGGGGCAATGACTACTAAAGATGTTCAACATTTTACAAGTTAATTTTGCTGATATAAAAATCAAAATTTTAATCACAGTCAGCGGAAATGCATATTTTATGACGAGGTCAAATTGCAATACTTCCCCGAGGGTTACAGTTTCTCCTCCTGCATGAAGGAGTGTCGCATGAAGCGCGCCATCAAGTTCTGTAAATGCAATCCACCATTTTATAAACCTATACGTGAGTGTTCAAACTATTAATTAGAATTAAATTGAACTTCAATTAGCAATTATTTTGCAGCGAGTGTTCCCACATGCGGGGTGTCTGATCTGTTGTGCTTGGAAAAGAATAAGGCGAACATTACGAATATACGGAATTGCATGCAATGTGAATTGAGTTGTTCGAAGACGGTCTTTAATATTGAGAAACTGATTAAAAAGCACGTACACTTGCAAAAAATAATTTTAATTACACTTTCAAACTATTTTGATCATAATACGCAATATACATATTACGTTTTCCAGCACCGAAAAGAGCGATGATACTGGCGTTTTAGTGGAATTCCTTACATGGCCTATTATACGGTATAAACGAGAGGTACTTTTCGGTTGGGTGGATCTATTGGTGTCCTTCGGCGGTATTGCCAGCTTATTTCTGGGCTTCTCGCTGCTATCTGGCGTGGAGATTATTTATTATTTCACATTAAGAGCTTGTTGCATGGTCTACAAAAATAGGGTAAGTCGAAAGGAAGTCTAGTTTATTGTATTACTTATAATTGATATAACAGCTAAATGAATGTAGATAAAAATTGGAGAGTAAAATAAAGGTTTGTTTGGAAAAAGTAATTGTGTGTATAATGAATACATACATCCTTAGGTAAAGTCTTACTGTTGACCCTTCTGCAGAAAAAATTCATGAAGTAGTTTGGGGGAATGCTGCAGAGTTAACAGTCCTTGGCCAGATAAAAATGCTAGTCCGTTTCGGACCGACGGTGTCGTGAGAACGGTGCACCACCAAATAAATGCTTTTAGCAACCAATAGGTCAATCAGATTAGTTTAGACTCAACTCTACACAATACGCAAGTATGTCCCTCATGATTATAGCAATCTTGTCGCATTTCTCTCAACCCATTCACTTTAATGTTGGGTATACTTGCTTGTATGTATGTAGGTATATACGCAGACTTCATCGTAGTGGAAACGGGCACCAATTCCAGCAATACAGACGATTCCCTCGACATATAAGATCATAACCTAACATCACCGCGATTCCTCACTTCTAAACCGAATATAGAATCACTACAGCAATAATAAAGTTTAACCTTTTTACAACAATATTATTCAATAATAATTTAAAATGTTCTTTAATATTTTTTAATTGCAGCAAGAATTGTATGAAATCGAAGAGGAAATCAAAAGAAGGCCGCCACCAGCAATTAATCTTTCACTTCGCATTATGTCTAATGTTTCAAAACCTGCATCACCCGGTGCTGCTGTAGATCATAACTTGGCTCGGAATAATTTGAATAGCAAGCAATTTAACGAAAAATCTGTTACTCTGAGTAAACGAAACAATTTAAATATGAATGTTCCAGAAAATATTAAGGAGCTCAACCGGCGACGCAAAGCCGATAAAGTAATAATATATTAATACATATGCATATAAATTACTTAACGAAAAACATTTTAAATAACTAATAGGATTATACCGGATATTCCAAATCATTATACAAATCTACAAAGATAATACCGCAATACACCGATGCGAACGGCGACTGGAAATATGGACAATATCTACCCTAATCACATTAACTTAACTGATTTAAAAGAATAATGCAGTTGATATCACGATATCAGTAAACGAATAAAAAAATAGTAATAATTAAGCAATAATGAATTAAATACTTACACAAATTCAAATTGCACATAATATTAGCAAAGTTTTAAGGTTCTATCATTGAAAAGGTCAACAAGTATATTTGGACAGTATATTTTATATTAGTATTATGCTTTAAACATTATGCTTAACTTCTTTCAAAAATTACACTAATAAAGTTTTATCACAGCACAGAAGAGTTCTTTTAATAATTTCTACAGCTTGTTTAATTTTATTTTCTCGGTTTATTTGCCGCTCTTTGCGGCTTCTTTTATAAATAATAGCATGCGACATCTGCTGGAAAATTATATAAAAGTGTCTTCGGACTCATCGCATAGATGTCGCATAAGGCGCTCAGCAAAAAAGAGACGCAAAAAGTAAAAACAACACAGATTAAGTTGGTTGATGGAATGTGAATGAGACGGTAAAGTAAAAATTAGAGAAGCTGAAAAGTTCAAGAACTTGCTCTACTTGGATAAAAGTGAATGTTTAAATAGATTTTTAGTGCGTTAAAAAGTGAAATATGCAGAAATTAGAACACGATTAGTAAAGTTCAGCAGAAAACAATTGAACAATATTGTTTGTTTAGCAAAGGGAGGTGGCTAATAGGGTGTGTTGCGCTTTGGCCTGTTGGCACTTATTTTTTTACCTGGCAAATTGTGAAATTTGGGACTTCGCAAAAGCATTGCGGTTATTGTTAATTAAAAAGTACATAATACGAAAGCAGGTTAATTTCAATACGCTTCAGTGAAGTATTGCAACGTGTATTGTGCAATTGCGCATAAAACAAACGTGTGGTGTTCAGACAAGTTAAATAAAGTAAATATAAATATTAGCCCAAACGCAATAAGAGGTGCACGCGGAGAGGAGATGCCCTTTTATGGACTCTATATACCCGGAAAGGAAGGTAAACAATTTTTTGGCAATTTTAATCGAAAATTTACATACATACAATTGTGTTGGCGAATCGAATATAAGAAAAATAAAGGTATATGAGAATGTCGGTATATTTGTTTCCATGCATAAATCGAAGAATCGGATATTTTTTAAAAGCATTGACTAGCTCATTGAACTTGGATAATATTCGCAAACAATTTGTATATATTCTTTGTCTCTAGCAATAAGTACGTATAAAGCTAACCGGCTTTCACATAAGTATAGTAGCAGGTTTTTGACAAGATATACATTTCATGTACATATTTGTAAATATATTTATATGACAAAGTATCACTGAGCATGTACCTATTTTTGTTTACCTTTTCATATGCACAGAATAATTAGTATTCTGTTAATTATTTGTTATAACTAATGTTTCTTATTTACATTATTAAAAATTTTTATTTTTTTAAGTATTTTGCCTCCACAAAGAAAAATAATATTTTATTAAAAATCAATTATTTATTTTATGTGTATTAATAGTTAATAATAATATTAAAAAAGATAAATGAAACACAGCGATGTTCAAAATGTATCTATATTTTGTATGTTGGCAAACAGCAGCAATAAAAGTCGTCTCTTTATCTAGTAAATAACATATGTATGTATATATGTAGGTATATATCTAAGAAAATATTTTAATATACACATACACATGTATAGAGTTGCACTCCACCTAATACTGAAATTGAATTCGATCTGTTTTTATTTATAATGTTTATCCACATACGCATGTTGAACTAAATTTGATGGATTTATTAAAAATAGTACAGACTTAATTACAATAGATCATAAAATTAAAATATATAAATTATTCTCACTAATACCCTGAGGATTAACTTTTTTAGTATCAAATTTTTAGTACTTCTTAATTATCTATACATATATAAGATGCCCTTATTTGTAATTTATCTTTGTAATATTGTCGATGTTAGACATTGTGAGCAAAGATTATTTATTAAAAGCAGACAAAGAGCTTCTTTTTAATCGCTATTCATTTGAGTAAGTTGTGTGTTGTATTTGCTGTTCAAAACGGGTGTGCTCAATAACATCGACATCACGATGACGTGATGATTCGCGGTGTGATGACGAAGAGGCGTGTCATTTCAATTAAAATAAAGTGTAAATAAGTCATAAAATATTTTAGAAACTGTGTTACAGTTGTAAACATTGTAAACACGTTCGTTTCTATTTACATAATTTAAGGCTATTGTTTGCATTTGTAAAAAAGCTTCTTTATTTCTCATTTGTACAAATGTTTAAATCTAATTTGTAATAACAATAGAACGAATTAATATAGTATATAATATAATATAGAATATAAAACGTGCTCAAATACACTAAATTTTTGCATGTAAAATCCTCGAAGGTCTAACAAACCTACATTAATAAGTTTAAAAATGCTCATTGTGTTTGTAGGGTGTATGTAGTGTTGAAAGTCATTTTCTACAATATTGTAGCATAATTATTTACAACCAAACGAAAATTGCCCTCTAGATTTAGTACGCATGTTCCTAAAAACTAAAATTACACCTTACCGAAAGCTTCTCTTACATACTGACGTATCGAGTATTCAATGACGAGGCTTTAGACTCTGTCTTCAATCATATGTTTGTTTTCAATGTTTTGTTTTGATTTAGGTTTTTATTTATCATATCGCATTATTGTTTCGCACCTGTTTTCTTTGCTCGATTTTGCCACAATTCACTCGCACTTTTTAATGACCGCCGTTGCGACACACTCTGTTTGCTAAATTAAACGCGCTCGCGTCCACAGCGAATTTTTGAAAATTTGCCAACAATTTGTGATGTGGTAAGAAAACACGCGATTTCGGCGTTGTATACCTAAAAAATAAAAAGGAAACGATTAACCGTTGTCTGACATGATCCCAACACAATTTACAGTTTTAATCGTTGACATGCAAATATAATGACTATTAACCATGTGCATCAATCTTTGTCTCTTTATAGCTGAAATTCCGCATGTGTATTGTAACAAGAGCGAGGCGCTGGATGTGCTGAAGCTGCACAAGGAGGCTCGTTTACGTGAATTCAATAATGAAAGTGATGCGAAAAAATTTGCCAACACTGGACATGAAGTGGTGGCGCCACCGCGTCATGCCGACAGCAAATGTATGTATTGCGGAAACCACACGTATAAGGAAATATTGTCATATTTTAATATCATAATATTTTCTTTATTATAACAGCATCCATTGCAATGGAAAAGGCGGCATTTCGTGGACCCACTAAACAGGAACTGATTGAATTTCGCAAAATAATCGAGTCCGGCGATTATGAACGGGTAAAAACCATGATTTGGGATAATCCCCGTTATTTGGTGAGCGCTGGTGACACACCCACCACACTAAAGGAGGGATATCGATATAATGCTATGCACATTTGTGCAATATCCGTCAAACCGCGCATTGCTGAGTTGATTTTGAAAACAGTAAGCGATACAAAATTTGTGGATTTGCTTACGGGAAAGAAAAACGACGTAAAAATGTGCAAGGAATTGTGTGTGAATTTATTGGATTACTATTTGAATATCCCAGAAAAGGGTCGTAGCGAGACACCGTTACATTTCGCAGCGAAGACCGGTGCTTTTGAAATGGTGGAGCTGTTAACTACTTTCCCGGAATGCAAAATGGCACCTAATTCGGAGGGCTTGTATCCCAAAGATGTATGCATTTTAAATACAGCGTATAAGCTATAAAATTAATATATATTTTCTGCAGATAATATGTTCAAGAGTTCCAAATGCTACGCCAGAATTAAAAAAGAAGATCGAAGCACTGCTCGACGAGCGTTTTTACGTGCCCGTTATACGCTCCGTGGACAATGCTGTGCCGCCGAAAATTGGTCAACCGTTTTCTGCCAGCAATCCACCGGTAAAACAAGAAAATATTTTCAGCTCCTAATAATATTATACGTTGTTTTTTTTTTAATTTTTCTTGCTTTTGCTCTTTAATTTATAACCAGAATCTCAACTGTGATCCACTGAGCCCTGAGGTTAAAATAGAAGCTTTAGCCGGTCCAATGAATAAGGAGCAGGCCAATGTATGATTTCTATTATTTCATTGTACAAGTATATATAAAAGTCTTACGATTTTTTTCTTGTTTTAGCAATTCTGCCGTCGGTGGAAAACGCCACCACGCCTGGGTAGCAATGCTGCATTGTCGCCGGTTACTTATAATTTGTTTATTTCTCCCGTTAAAGCGCGCTGTGTTAATGGTACACCATGTAAGGCATCACTCGCTAACATCAGTAACGGCAGTCCTACTCTCGGCACACCACTCGCAAAAGCCAATCGCCGCGCACTGTTCAATTCTACGCCACGTCGTGCCAGTTGTGAGGCAGTTAACGAAAATGGCGTTGCTAATGACACTTCTTCGTTAGTTGATAAACAGAATGGTAATCATAAGAATCATGAGGAAAGTGTCGAAACAAAAAATACTACCACGAATTCCACAACAACAATCGAACAAGAAAAAAACAATAATAGCCGTGAACAATTAACCTCGCAGAGCACGGACATAAATATTTTAAAGAATTTAACATCGCAAAATACACCAGTGTTACAAATGAAACGTGAACTATTCTTCACCTATCGCGATCCCAATCCTAATACACCAGTCGAACGCAAAGCGCCCGAATTTATCGAACCCGCTAATACCACTTTGCTCGACGAGCTGGATATTAGCGCCATTAGCGAAAATAATGAAAACCAGCCGTTGGAGCAGCCGCAGCAGCAAGCAATCAAATTAAAAGGCAGCATGCTGAAGACGGCGCTATGCCGCAAGATGCCATTAATCAAGGATAATTTCAACACTTATCGTGATTATAGTACAGCTTCCTCACCAGACTCGGACTGTTGTAATGATTCGTTGCGTAGTTTGTTGTTGATTGAGCCTGAACATTATGACAGTCCGGGCTTCAAAGAGCGCCATATCAAAATCACAGATACCGAAAAGGGTTTGGAATTAATCGGACGCGAATTGGCAAAGGAACAGAATGTCGAATGGCGCGAATATTGGGACTTCTTGAATTCCTTCATCAACATCGCTTCTGAGGATGGTTTGAACAAACTCGAAAACTACTTCGGCCAACGCCTCAAGGATGAGGAAATGACAAAGAAAACGGCACAGGCCATGGCGAAATCGGCTGTAATTTTAGACAGCGTTTGCAATGCACTGGATAAGTTGCATTTTCCAGAAAATGGCAGTTTACATGATTTTCGTAATGGTTTCAATAATGATCGGGCGCGCTACGCCAACATGACTGGCACCGGTGAGATATCCACAACGGCGCCACAGTCCACAACCCCCTACACATGTGTTGAGAAATCCGTGCAAGTGTTCGCCAAACGCATGACCAAGACCATTATACATAACATGGATAACATGGTGTCCATCAATGACACACTTCTGTCTGAATTGAAAAGACTGAAATCGTTAATATGTAGTTTTAAGGAGGATACGCGATTCCTAAATGTTAATTTCTCCAAAGTACATTCGAGAATTGGCAATTTAATTTCAATTTATTTGGCAAACTCACAAGAGGTCACGCCGGCAATGAAAATAAAAGTATGTAGAAAGCCTTAAAATAATATATACCAACAATAATAAATAATGAATATTGCTTTCGACAGCTTCGGGGTATTATCAAAAACATGCTTGCGCCCGGTGAACGGCGTGAACACATCGAATGCGTTTGCTGGCGAATACTTAACATGTTGGAGTCGCCAAGTAAGTGCCTCTCCCAAGTGTAAAACAAATATTTACTCGGGAATAAATTGTATAAAATTAATGTGCAAATCACTTCTTTTCAGCTGCTCAAATACTGCCCGAACAACTTAAAACCGAGGAGATGTGTTCGCACGAGTGGGAGAAGGAGCGTGAATGCGAGTGCCAATGGGAGACTAATCTCAGTCGCAAAACGAGCCGAAGAAATCGCATGGAGGCGCGTTATCGCAGTCATCAGCAGGCTAGGCAGCATCATCAACAACAACAACAGCAGCAGCAACAACAACAACAAGATACACAGAAATCGCAACAAACTAATGCAGATAATGGCATTGAATGGCGTGATCCTTTGCCATGCACTGACACAGAGACCGTCACACTAAATGCAAAGAATGCCAAAGAACAGTGGCGCGATCCCGTCGATTACAATGAAGGCGGCGAGCGGTGGCGCGATGTTAATATACGCGATGAGTCGCCAGACAACGATGTGTTTTGGGTAATTATATAAATATTATATATATTGCGATATATTTACTTAACATTTTGATTTTGATACTGTTGCCTATTAATGCTTTAAGTGTAAACGAGTTCTAGTAAACAAAATGTATGAATTGTCTTTTTTGTTTTTGTTTTATTTTATTCGTATATATTTAACCTTACACTGAAATTAGTTTATTAATGAGAATTTGTATTTATTTTCAGTCCGATTTTGGTGACACTGATTCCGACAATGAAGAAGAGGTGTGGGCTACACCACCGGAAAGTCCATCACACTGGAGTCTATTGGATGAACCCGTGGTGGAGACATTCAAAATATTTATATATGGGTAAGAAATTAATCTATACTCTATAATTATATCCAAGGCAGCGCTATATTCTTCGAAGAAATTGTTCAAATCGGACATATATAACATACATATAGCTATACAAACTGGCCGTTCGAACCCAAGTCCGTGCACGAATTTTTTTTTTTATTTGCTAAAGTATCTTCACGAAATTTGGCATAAATTATTATCCAAAGCATTGCTATAATCTCCAAAGAAATTGTTCACATCGGACAACTATAGCAAATAGCTGTCATACAAACTGACCGATCCAACTGAAGTCCTTGTTTAGAAAACTTTTTTATTTGTTAAAGTATATTCACGAAATTTGGCATAGATTATTATCCAAGGCAACGCTGGCATCTCTGAACATATTTTTCAGTTCTGACCATAAGATAAAGATCTTTTTATACTCTTTAATGCTATAAAAATGCACTGTAAGCTTCGGACAGTCGTAATTAACGTTTTTTTCTTTCTTTAACCTTTCTTTACCTAACTTGTCTCATTAATTGCTCTGAACTTGTCCGAATTAATTATAAGTAGATATTGCTGTAATCATTATTGTTAATTACAAAAATTATATTATATCAAAAAATTTCGATTTAACACGGAATGTAATATTTTTACTGACGTTTCACAATTTAAATTTTTTTTAGAAATGAACCGACGAAACGGGATGTCGACGTACTGAATGCCATCATGCATATCGATATCGATACCACAAAATACGCCAATATACACTCGTGGAAAACGGCTATGCTACGTTTTCCGAAAGAAGAAATGGATGCGTAAGTGATATTTGTATATAAAAATATATATAATAATATAATATATAAAACCGTTTTGAAATAATATATATATATATTGACGTTATTATGCCAGGAAATGAAATCAGATGTATGTATGTGTGTGCGAGAAAGAAGTTTGTTAGTCGCAGTTTGGTATGAAGCACGCAAGATGAGAGTTGGTTAAATGTTTGAAATTATGTGTTAGCGCCTTTGTGTTGTGGTATGTATTTGTGTGTGTACACCGCTGTTCTCTGTACTGCCAATAATTTTACAAATAATTTATATAAGTATTTATAATGGTAATTACACACTTTATTACAGTTTTCCATCGCTATCCATTGTAAAGAAGTCGCACTCGTTTACGTCAACGCGTACACCGACCCGTAAGGAATTTCCGCTTACGCCGTTTGCCCAACGGCATGCCATTTCGAAAAGTGTTACCAGCACACCACTCACAGCCAAGTTAACAGGAAGATCGGCATTTCCAGCACAACCACTGCATGCAACAGCAACAACAACAATAATCAATCAACAGCGTGCACTGCCAACAACAGCGAAGCGGTTCTTTGCGCGTCAAACGCTCGCCAACCTCCTGGCGCCATTCCACGCCAACAACACACACTAACAACTGCTGTTAAAGACGACGTTTGGAGTGTGCAGCTTGCGCGTGTTTTCCATTGAGACTTACAAAACTCATATTAATTACGATTTACACTCGCGCAGTGAGTGCGTTCGTTTTGGCTAACCACTCTAATATTTGTACATTTATATTATAGTTTTGGCTGTTTCTTAATTTATTTGATTTCGAATTTACTAATTGCAGCATCTTAATGCGCATTTTGAAAGCATAGAGCTGCATTTCTTGTTGGCTTATTTTATTAATATTAATTTTGTACGTTTTTTTTTTTATTGGAATGTTCTTTTGCAGTTACGAAAACAAAAAATGTTGTCTTTGAATTTTATAAACGAAATGTTCTCCATAATTACATAATTATTATATAATTATAATTACTATGCTATATTTTATTCAAACCGTGTTACCACATGATTTTATAGTATTACACTGATTAAATATTTAGCTGCCCATTTTTACTTGTCTTTGAGAAACTTAATGAACGTTACGCAGTTAAAGGCTGATTTTTTAACTTATATACTATACATATATGAATACATTAATATTATATAATTGAATTAAATGCAGTGTCAACTAATGGCTAATCAAATATTGTTGAGTAAACTATTTTGTCCTTTAATTGCAATTCCGTCTATATGTCTGTGTGTGTGCAAGAATCGCATGTTGGGCCGAATAACAATTATTTGAAGAATTAAAATACTTAAAAAATGTATTTCTGCATACAAAGTTATGTGTTTTGTAATAATCAAAACTACAATATTCTGATATTTGAAATAAAGTATTTTTTTAATAATAAAAATGTGCTCAAGCGATGCAAAATAATTACAATAATGCTGTTATTACTTATGAAACGTGAATGATTCAGCAAACACGCTGAGTATCTTCGTCGTAGACAGTAAATAAATTTGAAGAATGCTGCCGAGTTGATAGTCCTGCCGGATAAAAATCCAGGTACGTTCCGGTTGCGTAGAGCCGGCTGTCTTGGGGCCGGCCGGTCATAAACTACGCTGCACGGAGACCAGACTTCGGACGCAACAAACTTGGCACCCACTGACCGCCATTTACGGTGGCGCCATCAACACATTCACCAACTCCCTCCCAGTGTATGACGTACTTGGAATTAAACCACCACCCATTGCAGACGAAGAGCTCTAGTGGACCCGAGAATATAAAGTGACCCTTGCGCAACTTCGTTTTAGATACTGTAGCAGGTTATCCTCGTACTTATCCCCCGAGTCCCCGCATGAATTTAGCCCTCTCTTTGTATGCCCAACCGGGCACAATTTAACCGCTACAACAACAATAGTAATAGCGTGGGTACATTCCCTACAGTTGAAAGGATTGGTATGGCATTACTAAACGCCCCACTTGTGAATTTTCAAAAAGTCGATTTTATATTTTATATTTCGGAGTTAAGAGCGTATTTCTTTAATGGTGAGGAAAATTTTTTCAAAATGGCTGGACCGATCGACCTTCTTAAATATATTTGTCAGAAAATGATGGAAGGAATAAGATTTTTGATAATAATCTCCATTTTTTAAGCCGCCAATTGTTCAAAAATCTAAATTTTGCCTAGTTCTTCGGTCATCATCTGTATTCATCCATTGTAATCGCTCCTTAAGAGCAACTACAAATAAAAACTATTTTTCCGAACTTTCTCGCTTCTCTACTGCTCAACGCACCTTTCCCTACTAAATCAACACTCACGCTTTTCACAAACTGCACGGAGGAGTACAGACTAGGTTAATATCTTCGTCGATGACGTGAAAATGTCTGTAGTCAACAACCGCGGAATACTGCGCGTTGCATTTCAAAGTCTGCACACTAGATTACTCACCTGGCACGATTTTCGACCAAAATACAAAGCCGCAACCAAATTCACAAATTTTCGTCCAAACTACCCCTGTAAACGCTTGCTGGAAGCGAAACCTTCTATGAGGAATATCATGCCAGACTTCGGACATGGCTACATATTATATAACTGGAAGGTACATTATACTTCCTAAAACCGCCAAACTCATCTGACTATCTAATATACATCATAGAGGGTTTGTCAATTAACACCTAGTTTTGGAGTATGATGACGTACAAGCTGATGTCGGGAAACCCCAATCTTACTCGACGCCTTATAAAACTTAACTTTCCCTTCAGCTAACACGACAAACCCGCTCATCTAATATCTATTTCCCTGCGGGCATGACCAGTGACTAGAAATATATTGAAGTAGGTATATTTAGATATTTTTTCCGAGGTAACAAAATAGAAACTTAATAACGAACGCCAGCATTACAGGGTTGATGGCATTCAAAACGTCTCATGGACATGAACTTAGTTATGCGAAGTACTCTAAGCTCTTATTGACAAATAAGGTGTTAATTATACGGAAAACATACATAAATATACAGAGTCTACCAATAAGGATGACGTGACTTTGACCGCTTGTGGCTTCCATGTTAGCTCACGGATTTATGACAAATTTTGTCAGTGTGTTCAGTAAGATTTGCCATTTCATCATGTCACGTTTCTATTTGGTACAACGCTTGGAAATTGTTCAAGATTATTACGCAAATTCACGTTCTCTGGAAAATCCGGAAATTCAGACATCCGAAAAATCATCTTCTCAGATAAAACGCATTTCGGGCTTAATGGCTTCGACAACAAAAAAAAAATGTCGTTATTCTCTTGTGGTTCAAGAAACGCAATTGCGTCTCCAAAAATTTACCGTTAGGTACGGAGTGTGGACTCTATTTCTTTCGAAATGAGGCAGGAAATTGCGTTACCATCAATAGCGAGCGTTATATACCGATGTTGACCGACTTTTTCCCGGAATTTGATGAAATCGACGCGTACAATCTCTATTTCCCACATGACGTGCGTCGCCTCATATTTCACTTCTAAACATGGACACATTGCGTGCCAAGTTTAGCGACTCGTTAATTTCGAAAAAATGGCCCAATCAAATGGCCGTCAAGATCATGCGATTTAACGCCTATAGATTATTTTCTCTGGCGGTATGTTAAATCAAACGTTTACGCCAATCAACCAGCAACGCTCGAGGAGCTCGAAGACAACATTCAGCACACTATGGCCGAAATGCTGCACCGTGTCATCGAAAATTGGCAAACGTAAACGGATGGAGATATGCAAACGAATTGGTTCGTAAGAAGTTTGAGCTCCATATGCCAATTAGTGTGTGTTTGGCAACATAAACAGTTGTCAGGTTTGTCTGGCAAACCATGAAAACAATTTTACAACGAGCTTGCTTGAAATTTTGTATTTCCAATGGAATCACGGCTATGGCATCGTTGAAAATGTTGCAGAAGTGTTTTGTGGAGTCTACTTTATCACGAACACAATTACTTGAGTATCATGAAATATTCAGTGAAGGTCGTGAAGTCATCGCAAACTGGGATCATGCAAGTCTTACATCCTCCTCTGTTAATGACGATAACATCGAAAAAATTCAGGAAACAGTACTTGTAAATCGTTGACAAAGCTGATGATCTTAATATCTCTTATAGATCTGCTCATTACATTTTGGTTAGGGTTTTGGGTATGAAACGTGCTATACTCTTACCAAAAGACCTGAATCTTTTACAAAAACGACGTCGATTAGAGGTCGCAAAAGAGATGCTTGACAACATACTTAGCTGAGAACCCACAATTATCAAATGCTTCGTTGCTGGTGACGAAACGTGGGTTTATGAATATAGTGTCGAAACTGTTCAACAATTTAGTGAATGGCGGTCCAAAAATGAGACGAAACCGAAAAAAAACAAAATTCGCTGAAAGCTCAGACTTCATGAGAATGCTCGATGGGAAGAAAATTAGCGAATAATATTAGTAAGTTGTACAAAAATGATATAAAAAAGTTGAAGATCGGTATAATTGACGCATGAAAAGCTTTATTAATGAATAAAGTAAAGTTTTGCCAAAAAATGCGTTTTAGTTAAAACGATGAAACTCTCTATCAGCCTGCATTTCAAATTTTTACCGTTACCTCCGATGTCTAATATGGAATTGATATTGATAATTTTGAGAGGACTCTTAAAAGTAGGCAAGGCTTAATAACCTAGGGTTCCAATTTTTTCAATTGTAGCTCTATTATTCTATTATCCATCCAAATAGTGCTATATTTAATTGGCAAAGCGTACCGAATATAATGGCATCGGAATGGGAAGAAACCCCATACCATAAATAACAATTTGCAACGAGACTGACGTTGAAGGTGGTATCGGCTCAACCTCACAAATGACTAAAGTGACATTTAAATAGAAACAGAATGTTTACTCTGTTGTTTTCCAACACAAAATTAATCATATAAAGGTAAAATTAAGTTCAAATACATTCATCTCATATGTAAATATATCCAAATATACATACATATATACATACATACAAATCTACACTTTTGTTTATATTAAAAATGGCATCCCTCCAATCTTGTCGTAATTACTTAAGGTTTTTAAGCAAATTAGCACCAATACTTCCGGCTAATAGTCTAAGCATACCAAACAAAAACACGCATGTATTGGTGTGTAATCTGTAATGGTTATTTTGTTTTTATAATCTATTATAAAATTTTACATCTATTTCTACTCAGTATAATAGTTTTGTTCACCTAACGGTTGTTTGAATCACTTGAAAATAATCAAGTTAGATATAGGGTTATAAATGGTATGTATAAATGATTAGGATGAAGAGAGGAGTTGAAATCCGAGTGACTATCGATAGCGATAACTTGAATAAAAATTTAGATATCTTTATAAAACTGGGTACACATGTTCCTTGGCAGCATAAGAAGAAGGTATTGTAGATGATGGTAATCGGGCCACTGGAACGCCCACTAAAACTTTTTGCAAATAGCGCTTTTAAGGTATCCCATCTCGGGTCTAAAATTGGTTAAAATCCGATCATAACTGTTCAAGCCCCCACATACCAAATATGTGGACCCCAGTGCGTATGGCTGACTTTTAGTCAAAAATATCGGTCAATTTATGAAATATTACTAGAATTCGGGGAAAATATTTCTTTGATCATGATATTTCAATATGTCAAAAATGGGTTGAATCGGGTCAATCCTTTTTTTTTAGCTCCCATATACCGAATATAAAGGTTGTCCAACTTCCAGTTGACTTTATACCAAATATCGGCCAATGTGGGAGTTATTTTAATGAAATTGCGAGAGCGTGTTTTTCTAATAACAGTGTATCTTTCTGCTTGAAATTGATAAAATCGTGTGAAAACTTGCCTCAGCTATGAATAATTGATATTCAGAATTTTGAAACTTCTGGCTAACTTGACTCCATATATATTTTAATATTTACATATTATAAATTGCTTGAAAATAAGTTCTCAAGTATAACTGAACAATGTCAAAAATTAATTCAATCAGCCCTTTTATTTCTCTGCCCCCCATATACCCTATATAATGATTTCCGACTTTCCATCTGACTTCTTGCAAGTTGCAAGAGTATAGAATGTTCGGTTACACCCGAGCTTAGCCCTTTCTTACTTGTTAAATTTTATTTTTTTTAGATTTGTATATAGAATTCTATGAGATCATAGACCATACTTAGCGAATTTTATATCAAGTATTTTTACTATAATGCTTTTCAATGTAGCGTTCATTAGCAGCAAGAAAGCATCCATTGGAATTTATTACATTTTCCGCAAATGTGGAATATCTTTTTTCTATCCTATCTTTATTTGTTTATGCCAGTTAAATTGATTTATACCAATTGTTTGTGAAGCATCAGCCAATATGTTAGCCCTATACTAAACATTACGCTTATGATTCTTTCGACATTTTATTAACTACCGTAAACGTTATGCTAAAATTAATTTATACAATACATTAGCCATTAACACAGGTGTATGGGCGACTTGCATGAGGCATGATTTGAATGACTTCACGACCTTCAGTGAATGCTTTGAGGCACTCAAATACTTGTATTCGTGATAAAGTAGACTCCTCAAAATGCTTCGGGAAAAAATTTTAACGAATCCGTAGCCGTGATTTTATTGGAAACACAAAATTTCAAGCAAACTCACTAAATTTTCTTCATGGAAACAATGTACAAACAAACTTGTCGTAAATAAACAGCTACCGAACACACAATAATTTACGTATGGAGATCAAACTTCATACGAAGGGGAGCGCAGTTTAAATAAATGAGTCCGGGACTAATGGTATTGCTTCGAAATATGTCTCAAATTCGGTGACTACCTCTTCATTATCGCTTAAGTTTCTTTTTTCTCTTGAGGACTGACATCGGGAATAATTCGTTGAGCCGAGAAGCAGGCACAAACATTTTGAACCCAGTAGCAATTCATGATATTTCAAACCATGTCTCATCTATTGTCATAACACAAATATCGAAGGAAGTATTGAACGTACCTTTAATGAATATTTGTGAAAAATCTGCATAACTCCCAATCAACCAAAAACAATCACGAATTGAAAGTCCTGAACAATCTTTGGCTATTCAAACATAAATAAGTAAATATTATATCATTAAAGGTACGTCCAATACTTCCTTCGATATTTTTAGAGCACCAGCAAACTTTGATCATCATTAATCGTAACTCAAAATGAGTTATTAACTAAGCTAGCAGTGCCCTCTCCTAGAATCAGCTACCTTTAACTTGTATAAATTACGAGTGTGTAATTCACGACGACCCCGACCTTAGCGTGTTTTTAATTCTTCTTAAATAAAGTTTTGCATAACCATAGCTTGAAATAATTCAAACATAATCCGAATTTTAAATTATTAACATTATACTAAACTGTAAATAAATTATAAAACAGGAAATTTTCCAAACAATTGTTTGCATCGAAATAATCATTTTTGTTTTTTTATTTGCCCGACAAAGCGAACTTTTCACTTGCTAAGCTGTGCACGCTGCACAATTTTAACAAAACATAATAAAAAACATGAAGTGAAAACATAAATTAAAACAATAAAAACACAACAAAACACAAAGCTGAAACCACCTGAAACCTGAAGATAGTCTAATAATTTAAAATAGAGCACATGAAACCAAATTAGTTGAGAAATAGGAAAACTCAAGATTCGCCAGAAACTAAATAAATTACTATCAGATGCGTTTAAGCTGAATAATAATCACGAGTTGCCTGTTCTTTACGCTTTATACATACATACAAGTATGTACTTTGTCTTCTTGCTGTCAATGCTGTGGAATCTTTCAAGAGCGCAAGGTCACTGTGAGGTGTTTTGTATAAAATATAAAACTATCGACTGATTTTAGTTTTACTCTTATTTTTTTATTTGTATTGGCAAAACTTGAATAAGAGCTATAAAATTTTATATATAAAAATATACATTAATTTTCGTTGTCGTATCACACTAGACACTAATATAAACTGGCATGATTCTGAATCGTCACTGTTTGAAGTCGTTACTGCTTTATATTATATTCACAGTCGGTACTAACTTATAGAACTGGCAAATACATGTTATTCAGATTACCGTTGAAAATTTCATTTTCATAATCCGGACGTGGTTTCTGGTAGGCATAACCACTCCCACTTACGCCATTGCTCACTTCATGCTTTTCGTAATTATAACCAGCGCCTGTAACGGAGCCTTTATTACCCCCACTATAAACCGTTACTACTTCCGCTTCCGGTTTATCTGTTCGGTCAAGAATACCGATAGTGCTTCCGTTATCTTCAACCCGTTCAGTGGTGAAGGTGACAGCTTCGGCAACTTTTTCGGTTGTTGTGACAACCGCTGGACTTTGTGCTACCACTGTTGACTTATCTTCGGTCACAGTGGCGGTTGTGGAGCTCCAGATCGGATCCGGAGTGGAATCGACGTCGATGGAATATTTTTCGGTTGTTGGTGTTATTATTGCTTTAATTGTGCTGACAGTGTCCGTCGTAGTACTCACAAACGACTCCGTGCTGCTGGCGAGATTAGATGTAATTTTGTCTGTGATCTCAGTGAGCACGGGTTGTTCTGTAACTAATGTGGGTTTAACGCTGGTAACACTGCTCACCGTAGTATCAGCAATCGAGTTCGAAGTGGAGCTGGTGTATGCCAGACTGCTTTCTGTTGTAGAGCTACTCAAAGCTTCTGTTGTTGGACTAATTAACAACTTTTCTGTAGTTGTTGTAGTTGTTGAGTCTCGGCTGTTATCAATGGTGTTGCCAGTTGTGGATTTTGGAGTATTTGTTGTAGACTGTGGCGTAAAACCAGTATTTGTATCTTCAGTGGTTGTGCTTGGTCTGTACGTTGTGGTTCCTGCGTTGAATTTGAAACCAAGTCCAAAACTACCGCCAATCTTTCCACTGGCACCAATATTACCACCGGCACCAGCGCCACCACTAAAACTCGATAGTAAACTATTTATGAAATTCAATTTTCGACTTATAATATTTATCGGCAATTGGAAAAGACCACCGAATGCTGAAGATGTTGATGAGGAGGAGTATGATGTTGAGCTTGAAGACGAAGTACTGTCAGTGGATGGTGCTGGAAGAAAAAGATGTGTCTTTTAAGAGTTACCAAGTTTTAAAAAATAAGAATAATATTTTTAATTTCACCAAGTGATCACCGATTGGGCAATAACCAGTCAAAGCACTCACAATTAGAGAATTTTGAACCTTTATGAGGAAGAACCCACCGTATCTCTTACGATATACCTCGAGTTCAAAGATTTTGCGGCTGCGAAAATACAGTGGTTGATCAACGCTAGTCAAACGCAGACCTGTTCCCTTTTTTCTTCCCTTTTCTTACAAGCCACATACCAATTACAAAGTTATAAGCGCCAGTAAAAAACACAACAGAAATAATTCTGCATAGAAGCGGTAATCTATTGAGAAGGTCTGTGGTCTCTAAATTTATACCAAGACAATTGAAAGCTATTTTCTCGTGAGATTTCTAGGAGTACCTCATTGGACTGATAAGTAGGTTAATGAAACCCGTTACTTAGTTTCGACATAATCTATTCAAATAACTCGATCAACTTAGCCCAATGTAACTTAACTACTGCTAACTGCATCGAGAGCTCAAAACAAGAAATGTCATTTAATAGCGACTGCCATTTGGAAGACTATCAAATCACCAAAGCCCTGAAAAGGCTTGTCATTGAATCCTTAACCGTAAGTCATAAAATGTATAACCCTTTGGATATCAACGGCCAAACATCAATCAGAGGGTTCTCCAACAATTTTTGCGAGATTTATATTTATTTATTAATTATTTTTCGCGTTCATAAATTTATCACCGATTTGTGAATACCACTTTCATTCATTTCTGTTAAAACTTTCGCCTTCGTACTATATATATACATATGTATATATTTACAGTCATACATACCTCTCGTTGTCAAAACGAAGAAATTCGCTGGCAAGAAAAGAAATGGCTTCGCTTCAGCCTGCTGCCACAGGACCATTGTGGTTCCGAATAACAGAACTAATATTACAAGCTTTGACATAATTATATTTTGAATTTAAGAACGTAAATTATTCAATCGAAGAATTCTACTTCCGTCACTATTTCACTGTTGCTGCTGCCTTCACAATTTGCCAAACGATTTCGTACTAATATTGAGGTTTTTATAAATTAGCAACTTAAACCGCGGCCAAACCCCGAAGATAGAGCAAAGTCGTATTGCAAAAGTGAGAAATATTTTAGCAGGTGTCTATGCTTGGATGTGTGTGTGTGTGTGTTGAGGTATTTTAGTTCGAATGAATGACCGTAAACCACAGAGTTGAGCGAAATCGATGGATATTTGCATAGTTAGCACAATTCTTACCAAATCTCTTTCATCTCCTTAGCTTTGAGATTTACTTTTTATGTTTGCCATAGCTTTTGTCACCTTTTCATGTACATATGTTTGTACGTACACAGTATGTATGTGTGTATGATTTGTGAATTCTCAAGCAAAGCGATGAGCCATGCTTTTCATTTTTGCATAGACCTTCTAAGCGAATTATGGTTATTAATAAAGCACCTCAACGCAATTGTAGTATTTTTAATTTATTCAAAATGATAAAATAAACAAACCTCAACTCATAATAAGTTTATTCCTCTCACGAATTCTTACAGTAATAACGAGTGCGTGTCCGCTGAGGCGACAATTTCGGACTTCAATTGTCCACCTTTAACCTGCGCTTAGGCAAATTTCATGAGAAATGCTTTCTTAGCTCTTGGCGGACAATGACTGCCTTTTTTTGTAAGAGATGTGTTTGCATGTGGTTACAACATCGGACTTGTATTTATATGTGGTTATATAATAGGAAGTTTACACAAAATTCTGCCAGAATTTTGGTCGAATTACTACCATTTGTCGGATACTCCTTCATTTAATTCGACAACCGAAGGAGCTTCAAAATTTTTGGAATCTCAGAACAACTTATAGATTTTTACGAAAAACTTATCGAGGCAGAAAATGTGAAATGAAAACCTTTAAGCATTCTCTGGTTGGTCGAAGAAATATAACAAAACTAGGTTCTGCGGAAGGGAGTTAAAAATTCCATTAAATACTTGATATTAAGCTTAACAAGAAATATTTGCAGTCAATCGATAAAAAGCAGACAATTTGAGTAGATTTCGTACATAGGTATGTATATACTCGTATATAATTTGCTTAAACTATAAATTGGCCTCTTCAGAGGTAAAGGATAGAGAGCTTTCGAAATGAATACGTTTTTTTCAAATCTTTTTCAGAACGCCATGTTCCTAAATTGTTTCTATGTTATTCGTTCGCCTAACTTGGCATGACAAAAAATCCTCTGCCTAACCTTTATTACTCCTATGAATAAAAATCACCGTCTTAACACAACCTTGATTTGGTGTAATAAATGCAATGCTTGAAATTATATTGGGAATTGTTTTTCATCTAACGGTTCGTCAAACTCGCGCAATATGTTTAAATTCACTACCGACTAACCGGAGGTCCTTCTGCAACTACCGACCCATATACTATCTCTCAATTTCCCACGAACTAAAATCCTCACTTCAGAAACGTACGAAAACTATATAAAATATCTTTCGGAGGTCTTGTTTTTTCGGATTCTTTTAACGTAACTCGGTCTTTCTATGAATCTGCTAGTGAATACCATTTAAGCTAAATTGTCATTGGCTTTCCCTCACCATTTAAGACCAGCTGCACAACAGCATGGATTTTATGAAATATTACAAATTAGACCGTGAATCTGTAAATTAATATCTCATATCGGTACCGTAATGTTTTCGAAATTCATTTCCTGTTTATTACATCATTTAACTAATTATTTGATGACCAATCAATACACAGAAATCTTAAAAATATTATTAGCTGCTTATGAAGTTTTTCTTAAGGGAATATTTTTTTTGTTTTTGAAAACACAATTAGTGCTAACTACCTATTTACAGCCATAACGCGCAAAGTTAAACATTTTCAAATAAAAAGTTAAAAAATAAAGTTCCGATGGGCAATCTTTAAGTCAAACTTGCTTTTGTTGCTTCACATTTACTCTCTCAAAACAAACTAAAATCACATACATACATACATACATGTATAATGAGTCGTAATCTTAGCATATGTTCATACATATGGTATATTATATAACCGTAGTAGTCTTAATAATGTCAGCTGCGACATTGAACTTGGCATTACTTGGCCACCAACAATGTACTGTCTTTGGCTGCCAAAGCTATGGAAGCGAAAGCGAACGAACGTGAAGTCTTTTGATTTTCGACGAATAGTGATGTGAACTTGCATATTTAAGCTTTAACATTGAAATTATGTTTTTTAACAGTAGCGAAAGAGCTTTATGTACTTATGTATATTTGTAATTCGAGCTTGTAATTACTTCTAAGCATCGCATTAGCGCTGATGAACGGTACGAGTGTGATATTTATGTTTAAACCGTTTTATTTGGATCTCTGTAAGATAGGAGATCAAACTCTTGAGAAAAACTTTTTATTGACCAATTTCAAATCAATCAAAAACTTTAAAAAGATTTAGGAAAGTAGGATTTTTACAATTTCTAGGTGTGACCGTGTCTTTTCCCAAGGCTGCTTACGGACAGTTTAAGGTTAAAACCCGCTTTTATTATCCTCTATTTTTAAAACAATTAATAATATTTTTGCAGGAAAATTTGCTCTTAACTTCTGTGCATGTTCCGAGAACAGCGTTTAAGACCCAAAACAGTTTTTCTACTAGATTTGTGGTGATTTTTGTTCTAAAATTTTGTACTAATCTTATATCATTTTTTAGACGATTGACGAATCAGATTGTCAACCTAAATCGAAATTTTGTTTAAAAGTAAAAAACAAGTGGTTAAGGCTTTCAAGAGCGCTCAAAAAGGCCTGATTTAGATAATTTACTCAGATAGTTTGGAAAAAAATCGAAGTTCTCTCTTTCATAATTTTTTTATTAACATGTTTAAAATTTGAGAGTATAAAAAATAAATATTGAAAATTTTGAAAAGTCGTTCCAGCTACTGTCCCAATCTTTGGTATCACCTTTTTGAGGAAGGCCTCTACGGCTCTAATATTGTCGTACGTAGTTTACTAGATAATATTATATAATATTACTCCGAAACCACACACGAAGTTCCATGTGCATACGCGCGATAGTACCAACATCGCCCGATTTGAAAGAATGAAGTCTCGACAGGATATATTAAGTTTGCCACGAAGTTTGTAGCACCCAGAAGGAAACGTCGGAGACCCTATAAAGTATATAAATAAATAATCAGCGTGACAAGCTAAGTCAATTTAGCTATGTTTGTTCGCTTGTCTGTCTGCATATACTTATATACGTGAACTAGTCCCTCAGTTTTGAAGGATCTGAAATTTTTCAAACGTCTTTTTCTTCCCCAAAAGCTGCTCATTTGTCGAAACGGCCGATATCGGACAGCTATAGCATATAGATGCTATTTGTTTTTTGAAAAGCAATCTTCACGAAATTCGCCAATTTTAAAGGCATCGATACAATTTTCGAACATATTTTTCAGATCGGATCACTATAGCAATAGCTGCTACAAACTGACCGATTAAAATCAAGCTAAAAATCTTTATAAAAGCTCTTTTTTTGCGCATTGATTATCTAAATTTGGCTTGAAGGTTGTTTAAATCAAACCACGTTAGTAGAAATAAATAGCTAACCGCTTTCCGTTGTATGTTAAGCAAACCGTTGGCCGGCTACGTTTTCAGATTGCGTTATACATAGGTATAGTCAGTTCAATCGTACTTAAACATACTATTGTAATTATAATTAATTTAATCGTATTCAATGACTTATATATGCAATCATCTTATTTCTAGTAATGATAGTTGAAAAACGTTTATGGGAATCTATACTTCTTTTTTATCTTTGGGATACGATAAACATTTATAAAACTATCGATGTGGCTAAAAGTTTTTCCACCACAACATACTAAGAGAAAATAAAAACGCGTATTATTTGAATGTGATCTTTGGATCTTCGAACTATATTATCATTATCCTTGACAACAGCTAACAGCGTTAAGTCCATTCTCTTATTCGTCAAAATGGATTTCCAGATTTCAAATGTATCTGTTCGCATTTATGTATAAGAATATATAACTTAATTTCGCTTTAATCTAAATATGTAATATGCCATATGGATATGTGATCACAAGTTATACTTGAGTGTGTTAGCATTGATCGGGGCATTGCTTTGGCTCTGTGCTATTGTGGTTAATACACAACTAAGTTGTTGGCCAATGGTCAATGTAATTGACATAATCCATGTTAGGCACAAAAACTGCATACACATAACTATATATATCTACATATTGAAATTAAATATTTTTTATTGTCGTTATAAGACTTTAACAGCAGTAGGTCAATTTGTAGTGAATAATTGTGATATTTGCATACTTGCACAAGTGCCAGTAAGCACAATAAAAACATATTCCAAATAAAACATCCAAGACTTTGGACATAAACCATCATCTGAGATGTTTCATTTCGATGTCTATCGATTTTTTTCTCCTATTTATAATTATAATGTTTTAAGTGTGAGTGTGTCGAAACAATGTTATACTTTATGCAAAGCTGGAAGTTTTTTTTGTATTCCTTAGTTTTTATCTGAACATTCTCCCATTTTTTAGAGACTTCATAAATGTTTATTGACGTAATGGAATGCTCTGAGCGAGAAGTTTGTCTTCAAACAAACTCTGCAAATAATGAAGTATTACTTTTTTCGTGAAATTTCCGTATTACAAAATAAATATCTTCCATTTTTAGTAGTCTCCATTTTGTATTAACACCGAAAGCAATTTTAACTGTGAAACCCAACGTGGACACACTTTTACCAACAAGTGGGCTTATTCGGCAGTTCAAAAGCAAGTTTCTCGCTAGAGGAACATTTTTATACACTAACAGTTTGCCACGAAGTTTCTAACATCCAAAAGGAAACGTCGGAGACCCTATAAAATATATACATAAATGATCAGCAATATGAGCTGAGTTCATATGGCCATGTCTTTCTTTCCGTCCGTCCGTCTGTATATACACAAACTAGTCTCTTAGTTTTTGAGATATCGATCTTAAATTGAGTATATAACATTTTATCAAGAAGCTGCTCCATTGTCAGAATGACCGATATC